TTTTTTTTTTTGTGGAACCAGGAATTGAACTCAGGCCCTTGCACTTGCCAGAGAAGTGCTTATTCCACTGAGCCATCTCCCCGGCCCTGTTGACCTTCTTGATGCATGGAACCCTGAATGGGACAGAAGTCTTACCTCCTTATAAATAGAATTCTCCAGCACACTGTTTTTAGACTTCATCTGCAATGTCAGCTCTTCTAGTTTTCCAGCAGAATACCTTAGGGCTTTTAATGCAACTCTTTCTTGAGCAGGCCACACTCATCAGATTTTAGACCTGCCAAGCTCCACAATCATAGGATTTTTAAAAATGCATGTATCTGTTAGTCTATTTATCAAACACACACACATTCATACCCTATTTGTTCTATTTCCATAGAACATTCACTCACACAGCATTCTGTAAGTGGACAACCAAGGTTGAGATACAACAAATATTTGTGACTTCCCTAAATAGCACCTTAACTAAGAGTGGGAACCAAAGGGCCAAGATCCTAGGATCTTAAGGCAGCATGCCCGGTTCGTGCACAAATTCTGTCAGTTCCTTGCATTCTGTCCTAGATAGGCCACCTGCACCCTAAAATCTATGCTTAGATGCCTAGAGCATTGTCAATCTCTCTGTATTCATTTTCTATCACAACTATAACCAATGACCATGTACTGCTAAAACAACATGAATGTATTGTCTTAAATTTCAGGATGTCAGATTAAGACATTGGCTGAAATTCTGAAGTTTCCAGGGGAGTCCATTCTTGACCTCTTTAGTTTTTAGGCTGTTTGCATTTTTGGGGGGCCATGGCCCCTTCCTCCCATCACTCTGACTTCCTGCTTCTATTGTCACATGCACTGTTTCCTGATTTCCTCTTATAAGGACCTTTTGTGATTACACTGGCCTATCCTATCAATCCCTGGTACAAAAAATTTTAAAAAGCCAACCATTGGGCTCACCTCGACAATCTAGGATCATGGCCCCATATCAGAACGCTTCATCACTTACACAAAGTCTTCTTTGGTATAATAAGATACTGTTTACAGGTTCCAGTGATTTTCGTATGGATATCTTTGGTGATGATAGATGTCTTATTTAATTTTCTCATTGCTGAGACAAAATATCTGACATCCAAAGTTAAAGGAGAAAAGGTTTATTTGGATTATAGTTCATAGAGGTTTCAGCCCATAGTTGGCTTACTCCAAGACAGGGTGACATGGCAAAGGAGAAGCAGTCCATGGCAAAGCAGGACAGGCAGAAGGAAGCAAGTAGCAAGAAAGCAACTAGCTCTCTTTCTGCCTCTTATATTTTATCTGCCCTTAGCTGAGTAGTACTCACACCCTTAATCCCAGCATCACACACCCTACATCCAGCCACCTCTGAAAGCAACGGGACATTATTTAGTTCTGCCACACCTGGTCACCATAGGTAATTGCTTATACATGAGCTGAGGTGGGGAAGGAAGATTTCAGAGTTGGCAGTTAAATCATGCCATTTTTTGAAAAGCACTTTATTATTTGGTGAATGCAGAAATTTGCAACAAAGAAATGCTTTCTTGGTTCTAAAGAGATAAACAGTGGATATATATATCCATTCCCTATCTACTACAGTTGCTGTTCCATGAAAAGGACACTATGCCCTCCCCTGTGCTTTTCATTGCTAATAAAAGTGGGTCAACCATGGAGATTGTTACTAGAGGCAGGTTCCTCCCAGTCCCCTTGTACCTTGAATTATTGGTTTTTTTGTCTTTCTTTATTGCTTGCTTACAGATATCTGAAGTCTGGTCAGTCCCTGGCAGAAGAAAACACTGAACAAATTAGTTTTCAAAAATTATTCAGAAGGGTGGGGGACATAGCTCAGCAGCATAAGTGCCTGCCTGGCAAATACAAGGTCCTAAATTTAGTCTCCAGTACCAAAAAAAAAAAAAAAAAAGAAGAAAAAGAAAGAAAGAAAGAAAGAAAGAAAGAAAGAAAGAAAGAATCATTCCAATTTGTAATTCAGAAATTGTTCTTGGGAAGATCATAATTTCAACCAGCAATAGTCTAAGCCAAATCTAAGAGTTCAAACTGAATTCATTGGATTTTGGGACTCCCAGTCTTACACTTGTCTGATAATGGTGCTGTGCTTGGTTCTTCACCTGCTCTTAGGCACAAAGACTTAAAATCAACAGCCAAGACTTAATGTAGAGCTCAAGGATCATTTATTGTTTCCATTCCAAGAATGTGTTACTACACACCAATATTTCTCCTTCCTCTCTCGCTCTGCTCCTCCTTTTCCTCCTCTCCCTTCTGCCCTCCCTACCTTTAAAATTCTCATTATTCATCAGGGATTATATTTGTTCAGTTGATCTAGTTCCCCTCCTTGAAATGTCTGCCATTGCAAGCCATATCAAAGATCCTTGGCTCTGTTACTTCATCATCGGTTTCTGTTTCCTGCTTTTCTTCTTAAGGCAGGACTTTACTCTTTGGGAGTTACTTTCTTTTTCTCCCATGCCAAATGAAAGGCCATTAAAGCAAAGGAGGCCATCCATGTTAATGCTCCTGTCACTGTGTAGGCAACCCCTAAGAAAAAGCCACCACCTCCACACCACGTCGGGATGGAAAGAACAACAGATTTTTCTCCTCCAAACCTGGTTACTGGAAAATCTAAGAAGACTTGTTAAGGATGTGTCTTAGTGCTTCTCATTTCCATCACTGTATATACCAAATAGGTTAGATTACACCATATAAAGTTGCTCTCTTGGTAGTTAAAAAATGGTTGAATATTCAGTTTCATATGGTACAACATAGTAAAGCCATAGTCTGTTATCTTGAGAGAATAAAATTAAATGAAAAAAACCTTCACTCTACATTTAATTGACAAAAGAAAATCTGATACAGATAGATCTGAATGATTTACAGGCAGCTAAATAGATAATAAATAATTTTTTTATGAATCTAAGGAAGTTAACATATATATGTTTTATGGCAAACTTTAAATTTTTATTTTTGAATCAGGAGAAACAGGGAAGATTTAAGTTCCCTAATAGCAAAGTTTAAATTCCTACTTCAGGGATAAATTTTCAAGGGAAGTGAAGAATAAAAATAAATAGATAAGGAGATAGATAGAGAGAGAGAGAGAGAGAGAGAGAGAGAGAGAGAGAGAGAGAGAAACATTTTTGGTGGAAAACTAAAGGTAGTGCAATTTTTTGGGTTCTGAAATGGTCAGCATTCCTGCTGCTGGGAGTAAGTATTTAAAGTGGGTTTGCTATCATTAGTGTTTTAATGATGTCATTTTGATTATGCATGTGGCCTGAGGTTTTTAAACATCTGGTGTCTTTTGTAAACGAAACTAATAAACAAAGGATTCTCATAGCAACAACAGAGGCATTTCCCAGCAAAGCTCTTAAGATGGCTTAAATCACTTGGCAACAAGCTATTTAGAGACTCAAGGAAACTTGTTAGGAAAATAGCTCTCTTTTTCTTTTACATCAAAATTCCTCTTTGTCACCAGGAGGAGGCCACCTCAGCCCATCTGCCTATGTTCTCTTTCACTTACTTGAGAAGGGTGGGGTCCCTTCCCCTCACACAGAGAACAGCTTTTCTCCCTTAGAAGTGGTAAGCACTGTCTGTAGCACACAGGCTTGGTTTTCTTGCCTGGCAGTCTGGATATCTGGCAATCGGGTAATACCCCAGGGCCACACACAGGTAACAAAAGTGTAGGACTGAAAATCAGGACCAAGGTTCTGAATGGAGATCTAGTTTTGAGAGTGCCCAATATTAAAGCATAACTGCATGAAGGCACCACGGAGAGAACATTCAGAGAGGAAACTCAGCGCGTCTCTCATGTGGAGCATAGCCTCCCTTTCTCAGGCGCAAGCCAGACTGTATTGTCATGCTCTGTGTGGACAGCAGGGTATAATTTTTCTCTTCTGTTTCTTGAATGTAGCTACAACTTCTTTACTGATAGTGCAGTCACACAGTGGATAAGGTTAGGAAGTCCAACTTTTGAGAGATGGTTGTTGACAACTTTCAATCAATACTTAAATTTTATTGAGAATTTAGAAGGTTTGTTGAAATTCTTCAAAAGATAATCTTCTAAAGCTTAACCTTTGATCAATATCTAAATGGAGGAATTTTGTGCCTTTGATTTTCATAAAATAGATTTAGAGACCCTGCCGAATGGCAAACTAGTACAGAACGGTGCCTTACTCCCCTGACAGAGGAAGACAGCACACACCTACTCTAGGCAACAAAAGAAGAGGACATTAGGAGGAACTAGAACACATGTCCTTCATGTTTAATGTTTCTCCAAGACCTCCACAGGGGTAATGAGATTAAGGAGGTAAACAGTTTTGTGTTAAGAACCTCCTGCTTGTTTGGAAGTCCCACTGAATAAGAAGTTCTGAAATCTAATCTGCATTAAGTTTCAAAGTTGTATACAAGCTGGAAAGGATTCGGCTTCCAAGAGATTTTTGGCAAGGGGAGAATCAAAAATGTAAAAATGAACTTTTAAAGATTAGAGTTAGCAAAAATTGTGTTTATGTAACAATATGTTAAATATATAGGTAGTGTTTGATGTCATTTTAAAGTTAAATCCTAAAAAAAAAATAAAGTTAAATCCTTTTTGCTTTTAAATTGATCTATATTTCTATGTTTAAATTAAGTGAAAAATTCATAATCTCTTATTAAAGCGTATTTTTTTCCAACTCGGACCATTACTAAGGCATCTGTTCCTGTTTGCTGGTGCTGTATATAAGGGAAGGAGAAATAGCATCTTCACTGTCGAGCTCGCAGCAACCTGGCATGGGCTGGATCAACTGGACCTTGAGCCCAGGGCTCCCTTGTTCTATGAAACTTTTGTCTAGAACAAAAGATTCTACAATCTCTTTCAGTTTCTATGAGTTTCAGTCCATATTCCAAATTTCTTATCAGACTCTTCCCTCTTTTTCTTTTTTATTTTCATGATTCTTCATCTTGTCCATTCTTCACTGTTTTTGACTTTCAGGTGTACTGTTATGTAGTCTTTCTTTGGAACAGAAGTATTCCTGTACTTACCCACATTTCTTTATTCAAGACTGTGAAGCATATAATAGAGACAAACTGAAGTTGAGGATAGGCCACTGCAACTATGCCTCCTTGGCATGTCATTTTTCAGCTATAAGGACTTGACAAATAGCTGGTGCAAGGGCATTCTATCTTCCTATTTTCTCTTCCTGAACACAAGAGATAAAACTCCCATGTGGAAGATGTCCTTGTATGACAAGAAAAAATAAACATTTTTATCAACAGAGATTAGATGTCGAGACCAGAAACAGTCTGTGCAAACGAACTCAAACCGCTAACTTTTAATTACCTTCCCATAATTGCCACTCTTTTTTCAACGTAGTAGATATAAACTTTGGCTAGTCACTTCTTTGGGTATTCCATTTTCTTTTAAGGGTTCTCATGTATATATAAAAACTTTGTAGTTTTTTTCCTGTTGATCTGTCTATGTTAGTCCCAGCTGAAAACCCTGGGAGAGTAGAGGACAATATTTCCTTCCCCTATACAGTATTGTCTATAAGAAAACTTATATTTTTTTGATATAAATATTTGACTGGAGAATAGAGAATGAAATAACTCTTTAACTACTAACAGGATTTTCCTTTAGCTTGAAAAGTAAAGGGTTATAAAAGGATACTGTAGGATATGTGGAAAGTATAATTACCAGCCGGCAAGCCTTGAGCAAAATAGTGAATGCGATAGAGTCTCCTGTACAGTTTTTTGAATGTGGGAAAGGCAGCTGTCCGCATCCAGACAATGAAGTCATCATTGAGGAAGCCGTTGTTGTCCGGATTGTTTTTATCGAGCTCATACACTGGTTTAGGCCAGTTTGGGGGCTTTGTGCTTCCTGTGGGAAGAAAAGAAAGGATATGGTAGAGAAAAGTAATCTGTTTCCTTGAATTTTTCTTAGAGTGTAGACAAGGAAAGAATGGCATATGTGAGAAAAGAGAAATAGCAATTGCGCTTTTTTTTTTGGTACCAAGAATCAAACTCATGACTTTGTGCTTGCCAGGCAGGTGCTGTTCCGCAGAGCTATATCCCTGGTGAAACCAGGCTTTTACAAAAGTAAGTGCATCTATGTGTAAGTTATCTGAGTATATATCCATTAAAACAATAGCTTTAAAGAGGCTAAGGAATGCTCATGATAATTTCAAAGAGTGAAAAAAGTAAGAGCAAAGAATTATATGTGTATTATGCCTTCAATTGTATTAACAATTATAAAGATTAAAAGAACAGATACGACAAAATAGTAACCATCATTTTCTTCAGGGGCATTTTAATGAATTTTTTTTTTTTTTTTTTTGCTCCGAATGCCTTCAGGGCATGATTGGCTGGCTTGAGTTGTGGGGATTGAACCACAGCAACCTGAGCCTGACTGCTTTGTTGAAGTAGCCACTTAAAGAACTGAGCTAAGGGGCAGGCCCCCATGAAAAATATTTTTATCTCATTAATTTAGCTAGCAATATAGAGAAAATTAAAAGCATTGGTTGACATTTCAAGTAATCATTGGTGAGGTCATGGAATTGGGGAACTTTTGTTTGGAGCAAATATCTGAATCTGGGAACATGTCCTGAAAGCTTTTCTATTTTGTGTGTGTTGGGGCCCAGAGAGTCTACTTCTCGGAATGTGTCCTAAGGAAAGAGCCATGAAAGTGCATGGAGGCTGACTTGTCTACATCTTCACCCTGACACTGCACCTGAGAGTTCAAAGCTGGGAGCAAGAGAGAGGACCGATCTGGTATTGGGAGCAAACAGGAGGCCCAGGAACTACAAGCCAGTGTGAAGGTGGAAAGCCAGGTGGGCGTGGCCTCTGGAGGAACTTGGGAAGCGCAGGGTGGAAGGTGGAGCCAGAGATGAGTCTGTGGCCCTTATGTCATGTCCTGCTTCCCATTTACACCCGTGGGCATCTGTCTCACTCTACAGCGGACACTTGAGAACAGTATTGTACTCACCTGTTTTTCACTGCCATTTAGTCCAGTGCCTGATACATGATTGGACTCAATAAATGTTTGATAAAGAGGTGAAAGATTCCAGTTAATTTGCCCTGATTTCCAAGGAAGCTGCCAAGTTCCTTTCAAAACCTAACAATTCACAGTGAATTGTGTATCTTAATATGCCCAGGACAGTCCCCATTTATGTCTATTGTCCACAATCCTATCTGATAATTTAGCATTTATTTTACACAAATAGTGTACATATAATTTCATCCATCCTTCCAGCTTCCAGGCATAATATTAGTTCAGCATGTGTGAGATTTCCTGTGCAGTGACTGTGCTGCTTAGTTTGATTTGTGATTCTATATGAAAGATGAGTAGAGACTCTTGTTGTCGAAACATAATGTAACCTATCCCTATGACCCCTGCCTGCTGACATTCCAGCCAGCTTGTCCGTAATGTCTGTCTTGGCCCATGATATGTCTGAGGCTGCCAGGCTGCAAGTCAGTGGGACCACTGGGAAATGTGGGTTGTTATAAGTTTGGTCATGCATGTATGATGCTGTGTGTGGGAAACAGACACTGAGCAGCCCTGCTGAGAATAGTTTGCACTCTTTTGCAACAGTGGTTTTGTTATTTGTTATGCAATAGAATGATATAACTATTGTGTTATTCGGTATCAATTTTTTTTTATTTGCTAATAAATCCTTTCGCAGTGAAGGACCAAAAAATGAAATGTGTGCTTAATATAAAATTAAGTATGGTTTCTTTAAAAAGTTAATAAGATGCTATTGGCAGTGTTGGTCAACATTGTTCTACCCTGGGAATCCTAGTGATGTTGACTGCATGAAAATCTAAAGATGCAAGTCTGGGCATGGTGCTGCACTTCTGTAATCCCAGCAGTGGGGAGGCTGAAAGCAGGAGGATCACTGTGAGCCTGAGCTGTGTAGTGAGACCCTGTACAAAACACATTTTAAAAAAAGAAAATCTAAAGTTATAAATCTGCTGAAGAATATCAGAACATGCTTCAAAAGATTGTGATAACTTTTAATGTGTATCCAGTGACAGTAGCTTAACTTCTGTAAAAGTCTATTTATGTATCCTTCTGTGAGCATGACTTTTTTAAGATCAAATAGATTTCTTCCTAGTTATACTTTTTAAAAATTGTTTTGTTTTTGGTAGCCAAAAAGAATGTGTTAGTGTGTTGTTGATGTCTTTAGCAGACAAAAAATTTTGTAAGTGGTTAAAGGAAGCCAGATTTACATGAATGTCTTCAAGTAGCATAGTGGGGTAAGTTAAATACAATAACAGTTTGATTTTAGGAGCGTTAATTCCCATGGAATCAAAGCAAAGGATTTGGAAGTTCCATCATTCAAGATGCAAATTCAGTTAAATGTGTGCAGCTCCCTGTGCAGTGAATGTAGTCAGGTTTAAATGGTGAGATTTTGTAGAGATAATATTTGGTCGGACATAACATCAGAGAAAAGATAATGCTTTTAGTAAACTGAGTGCTAGGATTACAGATGTGCACTCAGTACAACAAAAGGTTCAGCCTCTCCACATGCGAAAAAATAATAAAAAATACAAGAAGGAGGAGGCAGTGGAGGAGGAGGAGGAGGAAGAAGATGGAGCCTCATACCTTACATCATATGTAACAATTACCTTACAAGGGACCAAAGATTCAAATGTAAGACCTGAAGCTGTAAATCTTCAACAACTAAAGGTTTTGAACTTTCTATATTTTAGAAATTTTTAAAAATATTTTTTAACATTTTAAAAAAATGTACCCCAAAGCTGGAGAACTCATTCACAGGATCATTATAGGATACATCATCTAATACTACAAAAGCATTTCCTTAAAGGCGCAAGCTGTTTTAAAATTCTGGTTGATAAGACAATATCATACTGCGATATGTTTATCATCTGTGTCATTATAAAAATTTTTCAGTTCAGTTTGTCTTGTGAATATGCAAAAATATTTAGATTTGTACAAAAGCAGCTTTTCTTTTGAATAATAAAATATTGTCACTTCTTTGGATAAAAGTGTGAATTGTGAATATACCACAGCCAGGGATGTGGGGGGGGGTAGAGAGAGAGAAAGAGAGAGAGAGAGAGAGAGAGAGAGAGAGAGAGAGAGAGAGAGAGAGAGAGAGAGAGTCTTGCTGCATAGTTCAGACTGGCCTTGAACTTGAACTCACTATGTAGCCCTAGGCTGTCTTCAAACTCATGGCAATCCTACCTCCACCTCACAAGTGCTCATATTACAGGACTGCACCACCACATCTGGCTTCAAGAACTGCCTTTTTGAAGATAGTTTTTGGTTGAATTATTGTATATGTGTATGTTTACCTATGTGATGTCAGTTTATTGGCCGGTATATGAAAACTTTAAAAAACTCTATACCTAGTTATTCTAATGCCCTTTTTCAATCTCAAAAAGGCCATCATAGTTATAGTCATTGTAATTACAGTGAAATGCCAATCATCTTAAAACATTACCTTTTTCTTAAGAGTAGACTGGAAGAAAACATGGAACCAATCATTTTACATTTCTCATAAGTATATGAATCTTACCTGCAAATTTGCTAGGAAGATCATTGAGAGATGGATTCTGAAATTTGACATATTTATCTGTCCACCACGTAAGTCCTTTCTTTAGCATTGGGACTCTAACTTGTACAGATGAATTAAGTTTGTATGAAAGCATTATGGTATCTGAAAAGAAATAAAAAATTGCATTAGAGATGCAAGCTGGCAATCTTGCTACCCTCCAAATGCAGACCCAGATCCAGCTACAAAATAAATCAGGGCTCTTGCAGACTCCCAAGATGCCCGGATGCTGCAGTCACAAGAACATTCTTTTCCTTGCCAAGGTTGAGCCAGTTACTGAAAAATTCTCTTAAGCTCCTCGCTGACTTCTCTTTTATATTTCTGGCAAGAAAGAACTTATTTTCAAATGAAACACTGTACGTCAGTGCTCTAGGTCAGCCAGGATAATAGATTCAGTATTTAGAGGACAAAACAAAACCCTGCTTCTTGGCTGCAGCAGTAATCTGGACATCAAAATGGTAACACACTTATGAAAAGTGACATTCCAGAGACAGGAAAGCATCACCTACCATTGAACATGCTGTTGGCAATAGCCCCACAAGGAGCAATGGGAGTACCATCACGAGACACTGTGAATGGAGTACAATCCTTAACATCCTAGATGCAAGATGACAGAGCAAAGATAAATGCATTTGGTGGACTCTCTTATATTCTTGAAAGAGACAACATTGGCAGTGGAATCATCTCATACTAATTCACTGGTGTAGACTAAGATTATTGATCACTGTTTTTTCCCAGGCACCCCGTTCACTTAGGCTAGAAATCCATGTTTTGAATGTATGTGAGTACAGTATGTATATGGTTGTCTATGAATGCCTTTTTCTCTCTGTAATATGTAGCATAAAAGTGTCTGTTGGAAGGAATTTTTCTTATCAGCTATACTAACATTACACTAGAATACACTTTTAAAGTCTCTTTTTATTAAAATAAAATTTGTATTCAGAAAAGTGTACAGACTGTGATTCTATAGCTGAGGACTTAACACCAGGAGTCCATGCAGACTACAGTTCTGAAGGAGTGAGTCCTGCAATCACTTGGTTAGCACCCTCATTTACTGTCAGTATGAAAAAGAGTTCCGTGTAACTTCCTCGCTAGCATGGTAAATATCCTTTACCAACGGTGAAACTCTGTACTCCTGGATATTGATAAGATACTTGGTTAAACCAACTGCTTTATTCAATCAAAAAGAATCTCAACATAGGCTGTATTGAAATTCCCAATTATAGAAAGGACAATAGTAGATATCAACTGAGACAAATTCAAACAAGGTCTCCCAAAATAGTGCATGGAAGGATAACCTAGTGCTTTTGCTCAGTGACAGAGAGAGTCATCTTGAATACTCAGTCCTCTCAATTTGTGTAGAATGAAACGAACATTTATGTTTTATAAAAACTTGGCTTGTAAAATATTTAGCTTCTGAGATTATTTTTCATCCCTCATTTAGACTGAAAGACCCATCTGGCTTAAAAAAAAAAAAAGAAGTACAATAGCAAATTAAATAAAGCCTTACCTTTATATTCTCACCCACCAGTTGGGTATTACTTCTGGATTTAATATATCGATAGAGATTCTGATAGAAGCCATACAACTTATAGTACATATGAACATTACCCTGTATGGGAGGAAAGCATGAAGTGAGAAGAGAATAGAGAAATTAACTGGAATATTAATAATCATGAGCTGCAATTTTTAATTTAAAAATTTTACTTCTTTATTGATTGGTTGGTTGATTTGTCCAGGTCAGCTTTAACTTTAACTCTCTCAGCCTCTTACACTTATCTTAGCCAAAAGGACTGGGATCATTGTCATACACCATCACATCCTGCAGAAATTTTTTTTTTCCAGTACTGGGAATTAAACTCAGAGCCAGGCAGACACTTGTGCTGCTGAAATTTCTATCCCTGGCTAGAAATTTTAAAAGGAGAAAGCAGTACAGAAAAAAAAAAAGATGGGAACTGAAAATTTCTGGAGAAAACAAATGTAATAAATCAGTTTTAAAAGTCACTGTTGAAGGTCCTGGTCTGTAAAGATAATTGAAATAATTGAATAAACTATTTTTTTTAATTTTAAAAAGAAAAGAGCAGTTGTGATGGAGCACACCTACAATCTCAGTACTCAGAAGCTTGAGGCAGGAGGATTGCTATGAGTTGAGGCCAGTATGAACTACAGAGTGACTCCAAGGCCCTCCTGAACCACATATGGAGACCCTGTCTCAACAAAATAAAACTAACCTAAACTAAACAAAACGCACTACACTTTTGCCTTGAAAAAATTTCTATAACCAGTTCTATACTTTCAGTACTTATCATTTGTCTTCACATATATTGTCATTTCCCAGTAATACCAGGAAAAATGCTCTGTTAGGAGTTAGGATAGGTACCCAAAATAACCATTTTAAAGCTAATTCATGAACTATAATTTAAAATGGAGCCAAGGGTATATTGAGGGGCCTTTGTGTACTAAGCATAGGAAAGGCGTGAGACTAGAAGCAACTTGCAGGCAGCCTCCAAGTGTTTGTCTTTTTGGTCCTAGGATCTAGCACAGTCTCTGGCTCTTAAAATTTGCTCAAGAAATAGTTAGACAATTGAAATGGACAAAAAGAAGGAACAAGTCACTGATCCATAATAAAAAAGGTGATTTTCACTCTAGCAATAAGTAGCCTTGTTACCATGGTTTGTAGGGGCAGTTTCCCATCAGATTATTGGTCCTACAGTTTCCTAAACATGTACTCAACTTACATTTGAGGGAAAACAGAACCTCAGAGATGCCCCCATACCCAAGCAGTTCCAATATTGCGAGTTCTCTGAGCACCCTCAAGGAACCAGTCCTCAGAAAATGGCTGACCAGGACCAGCCAAATAGCTCAGTGGATTAAAGTGCCTGCAAGCAGGTGCAGGGGCGAGGGGTTCAATCCCTTGGCCTGCCATACCGGCACCGCCCTTAGGGTGCACTGAGACTGGTGTGGTGGTGTGCACCTGTAATCCCAGCTCTTGGGAGGCTGTAAACAGGAGAATCACTAGGAGCCCTATATAATAGTGAGACCCTGAAGACCCTGTAGACCCTTCCCTAAAAATATAAAATAAATAAATTAACTAATTAAAAAAAGGAAAAATGGCTAACCAAACCATATTTTGACCAAGACTGCCTGCATTGCCAACTGTAGAAACCTCCACTCCTTGCCTTTATTCCTTTCTCTATAAAAGACACTGAAGTTTTGGAGAATCTTTGACTCTCTTTATGTGATCTTTCCAGTGTGACCATGCTGATTCTTTTTTTTTTTTT